GTCTTCTAAATCGCTGATCCAATCCTCTGCTTCATCTAATCTACTGGTGATTCCTTCGAGTGTGTTCTTCATTTCAGTTATTGTATTCTTTAGTTCTACCTGGTTGTTTTTTGTGATTTCTCTATCTTTCTTTATGTCCTCCCTAAGTTCCTTAAACATTCTTATCATCAGTGTTCTAAACTCTGTCTCTGAAAGGTAGGATATCTCTATTTCACTTAGTTCCATTTCTTGAGGTTTCTTCTGATCTTTTACTTGGAACATGTTTCTTTGTTTCTTCATTCTGGCTGTTGCTCTGTGATTGCTTTGATGTATTAGATCACCAGACTCGATGTGGCCTCCTCTTTAAGTCCTTCATTTAGAGGTTCTGCTCATCTCATGTCCAGAGAACTTTCGAGGTTGAATATCTTATAAATTATTTTTAATTTTGTTGTGATCCTGGGAGGCAGTCGGCACAGCATCTGTCTATTCCACCATCTTACTGGAAGAGCCTGAAATACATTTTGCATGCCAGACTTCCTTTTAACAGATTCCAGTTCCTTCTTCTGGTTACTCTACTCACTATCCAGACCTCCTACTAGTGGATATGGATTCCCATGCTTCAAATCCCATCTCTCTCACTTACTTAGCTGTTTAATCTTCAGCAAGTTACATAATTTCTCTGTGCTTCTGTTTTCTCGTCTGTAAAACATGATTGATAATGATAGCTACCTCTTAGCGTTTAGTGAGGATTAAATGAGCTATTATGTGTAAAGCACTTCGTACAGAACCTGGTGCATCACAAATGGTATATAATTGTTTTGCATATAGTAAGTGTTTTAGAAGAATTTTGTATTACTACATTATGACTATTTTCATTATTGTCATATGAACTCGTCTATTTCTCTGTGTTCATCCTGTCTCAACTACATGTGCCCTCTATCCTCTACTAATTGTTCTTTGAGATATTTTTCTCTTTTCTTTTTCTTTTTAGATGAGGATATTTTGCAAACAGAACAACAGAGAATTTCTGAAGAAGTTTCATTCCAGTGTGAGAAATTTAGTCAAGCCATAGAAGATTCATTGTGTTCCATTTTAGAAGAATTATGGCAAGATAATTACCAACTAGAGAGATATCAAGAAAACCAAAATAACCCTTTAAGTCATGTGAAAGTATTCATTAAGGAGAGAGGCTATGGGTGTAAAAACATTGAAAAAATAATTCATGTGAGTACCAAGCTTGTTCCTTCAATAAAAAGACTCCATAACTGTGAAACATTTGGAAAGAGTTTGAAGCACACTTTGAACTTACATAATCATAATAAAAGCAATGCAACAACAAACTTTGATAAGATTTTTGAAAATGGCAACATTTCCCATAACTCTTCCTCTACTAAGAATAAGAATGCTAATACAGGAGCAAGTGCTTGTGAACATAATCAAAGTGAAAAACATGTTGGCCACAAACAAGTTCTCATCCACCATCAGAAAATTCATACTGGGGGAAAACTTTATGTATGTACTGAATATGTAAAGAACTTCACCCAGAAGTCACATCTCTTTGAGCATCAGAAAATTCGTATTGGAGAAAAATCCCATGAATGCAACAAGCATGAGAAAGTCGTCACTCAGAACCCACAAATTGATGCAGCTCAGAGTGTTTATACAAGAGAGAAACCCTATATATGTACTCAATGTGGAAAGGCCTTTACTTTCAAGTCAAAGCTCATTACACATCAGAAGATTCATACTGGGCAGAAACCCTATAAATGCAGTGAATGTGGAAAAGCTTTTTTGCACAGGTCAGATCTCTTTAGACACATGAGAATTCATACAGGAGAAAAACCTTATGAATGCAGTGAATGTGGAAGAGGCTTCTCCCAGAATTCAGACCTCAATGTACATCAGAGAACTCATACTGGAGAGAAACTCTATGCGTGCATTGAATGCGGGAAAGCCTTCACAAGAAAATCAACACTCAGGATGCATCAGAGAATTCACACAGGAGAGAAACCCTATGTATGCACCGAATGTGGGAAGGCCTTCATCCAGAAATCACAGTTCATTGCACATCATAGAATTCATACTGGAGAGAAACCTTATGAATGCAGTGAATGCGGGAAATGCTTCACTATGAAGTCACAACTGCGTGTGCATCAGAAAATTCACACAAGAGAGAAACCCAATATATGTGCTGAATGTGGAAAGGCCTTTACTGACAGGTCAAATCTCATAACACACCAGAAAATCCATACTAGAGAAAAACCGTATAAATGCAGTGACTGTGGAAAAACCTTCACCTGAAAGTCACGCCTCACTATCCATCAAAAATCGCATACTGGAGAGAGACACTATGAATGTAGTAAATGTGGGAAAGCTTTCATCCAGAAAGCAACACTAAATATGCATCAGATAATTCATACAGGAAAGAAACCCTATGCTTGTACAGAATGTCAGAAGGCCTTTACCGACAGATCAAATCTCATTAAACATCAGAAAACTCATAGTGTAGAAAAACTTTATAAAGACAATAACGGAAAAGGCCTTTATCAGAAAATTACAACTGGACAGGCATCAGATGTCTCATAGTGGGGAAGAGGAGTGCCCGATACTGCAGTCATTGTGCAGGGGGAAGGAGGTATGACAAACTACAGCTTCAGTGAACAGAAGACAAACAAAGCCAAGTATCCTTCAAATGCAAGTAACTGCATCACCACAGTTGGTATGCAATTATATACATAGGGAGACTTTGATAAAGCATTTGAGCAATAGTCCTATTTGGGTTCATGATTCATATAGGGACTCTCAAGCTCCTGTAAATGGTAGAAATAGAGACCCCAGGAGATAACTTATGATCTCTTATGTTTCACTTTTTTAGTAAAGGACTTTATAAATTCAGCACTGGTTAGTTTTTCATACCCTGGGATGTAAAGTACTCGATACTGGCCAAAATTTTTTCAAATTTCTAGGGCGGGGAGAAGAGTTTTCATAGTCCAAATACCTGCAGGGCACTGAAGTCAAGGCAAAAACCTATTTGGGAATGCAGATCTGCGAGTCGAAGCCAGAAGTTTTTGCAATCATTGATATTTAAGACACAGAAAAGACAGCCATGAGGAATTGTTCTTTCTCCTCCATTTGAGAAGTCACTGTGGTATATATTTTTTAAATGAAATAGAATTTTTAAAGTCTGACTTTATTCATTGACAAATTAGGCAAAAGTCTAGGCTATGTTACAAGAATATAGTTATTAAATGTTGCACTCATCTAAAGGTGGCGATTGTTCTCTCGTTAATTCCATGCTGTGGCAGCAGGTGATGATTCACACTCAAAAAGACTATGTATACCTTCTAACCTGTACCCCAAAAGCTATCATTTATGTAAGTTGCAGACCACAGACTTCTTATCCACTTAGTAAGTGACCTTGAGCCACAGGACACTTGACTTCCAGTCTCATCCACTGAAGCTTCTGCTTTCTTTGGGATTCTTGTTTGAAAAAGAATGATTGAGAAATTGGGTTTCAATATGTAAAATTTTGATTGTGTTTTTCTTTCAATTTTGTTAAGACATATTCATTTTCTATGTGCATAGTAAGAGTAGTTTTGTGTAGATTGCTATGGAATAAAGTCATTTTGCATTATAGTTGGTTACTTTAAGATATGATTATAGTTTATTACAGTTGAATAACTGGAAGACTTATCTAGAAAAAGCACTGCTTTTTTTGAACACTGATATATAGACACTTTCTCATTTTCCCTTAGATGTTTTAATAAGAAAAAGGGTTTTCTTTATAGCATGCAATTTTATTTTATTTTAGATCTTTTTATTAAGGTATAATTCATATAGAAAAAGCATATATCAAAGCATACAGTTCAGTTCTCAGAAACTGAACATACTCAGATCAAGAAACAGAACACGACCACACTCCAGAAGCACTCCCTTTCTCCCTCCTAGTTCTTACCACTGCCCCTCTCCCCATGTAAACACTATCCTGACTTCTAACAGCATAGATTAGTTTTGTCTGTTTGATATTTTATATAGAGTCAAACAATTATATTTCATATTTCAGTGTTTATCTTCTTTTACTTTATGAATGTGAAATTCATCTATATTGTTAATACAGTTATAGATAATTCATTCTCATTGTCATATTATCTTCCATTGTGTGAACATGCTACAATATATTTTTCTGTTCTACTGTTGATGGACATTTGGGTTGTTTGCAACTTAGGGCTATTAGGAATATTGCTGATATAAATATTTTAGTACCTATCTATTGGTGAACATATTTATGAATTTCTGTTAGGTATATATCTAGAAGTTGAACTGTGAGGTCATGGGGTATCTATATAGTCAGCTTTAGCTTATAAAACTAGTTTTCAAAAGTGGATATACCAACATACACTCCCACCCGCACAGTATACAAATTCTAGTTGCTCCACAACCTTGTCAACACTTCGTATTTTCCATCTTTTTTACTTTAGACATTATGGTGGATGTATAGTGATAACTTAGTGTGGTTTTAATTTTTATTTCCTTGTCCTCCAATCCCACCATAGTATCTTCTCAAGACAGTTGACTGATATCAGAGATATGAGACCCAGACCTGGGCCTCACATGGCTGCAACACTTTACATCCTACCATAAATATACGCAGTTAGTAAGTTTAAACACACACACACACACAAAAAAAAAATCCCAAAGCCAGATGGTTTAATTGGTTAATTGCATTATACATTTATGGGAAAAATAAGGTCAGTACTGCCCAAAATCTTTCAGAAAATAGAGGAGAAAGGAAACATTTTCCAACTCCATGAGGCCAGTATTACCCTGATACTTAAGCCATACAAACACATCACAAGAACACTACACACCATTATTTCTCATGAATATAGATGTAAAAATCTTCAACAAAATATTAGCAAATTGAATCCAGCAACTTATAAAAGGATTATACATCATAACCAAGTGGGGTTTATTCCAGTGATGCAAGCCTGCTTCAAAATTCAAAATCATTCAATATAATCTGTCATATTAACGAGCTAAAGAAAAATCACAAGATCTACAGATTTAGTACAACTTTATCTAATTTCCAGCAGGCTTTCTTCCTCAGAAATTGATAAGCTAATCCTAAAATTTATATAGAAATAGAAAAGACCAAGAATAGCAAAAAGGAATTTGCCAAAGAACAAAGTGGGAGGGCATTCACCTCCCAATTTCAAAATTATTATAAAACTACAGTAATCAAGACAGTATGGTACTGGCATGGGGATAGAGACATAGATCAACAGAGCAGAATAGAGAGTCCAGAAGTGAACCCTCATATTTATGGTAAACATATATTTTTTAAAACATGTGAAGGAAATTCAACGGGGAAAGTTTTTTCAGCATTTGAAGCAGGGATAATTGGATATCAACACAAAAAATGAATTTAAATCTTACTTCACACCATACTAAAAATTGACTCAAAATGGATCAGAGATGAAAATATAAAAGCTAAAATTATAAACGTTTTAGCAGAAAATAGGAGAAAATCTCTGTGACCTTGTATTAGGCAAGGAATTCTTAGGACACCAAGAGCATGATCCATAAAGACACAAAATGATAAATTGTACTTCATCAAAACCAAAAAGGTTCGTGTTTCAAAGGACACCATTTAAAAAATGAAAAGACAAAACACAGATTGGAAGAAAACATTCTAAATCATGTATCTGATAAAGACCTTGTATCCAGAATATATAAAGAACTCTTACAACTCAATAAAAATAAGACAAATAGCCCAGTTTAAAAATGGGCAAAAGATTTGAAGAGACATTTCACCAAAGAAGATATACAAATAAGCACTAGAGGAGATGCCCAAAATCATTACTCATCAGAGAAATTCTAATTAAAACTACAATGAAATACTACATTATGTATACTAAAATGGCTCTAATAAAAAAGATAATTATGACAAATGTTGGCAAGGATATGGGGAATCAGGAACTATTATACATTTCTGGTGTGAATACATTAAAATGATATAGCCACTTTGTAAAAGTTTGACAGTTTCTTTAAAAGTTATTTATAAATTTACCATAGGACCCAGCAATGTCACTCCTATTACCTACCCAAAAGCTATGTAACATGGTCACACAAACACTTGTCCTTGAATATTCATAACAGCATTATTCATACAAGACAAAAAGTAGAGACAATCCAAATATCCATCAACTGGTGAACAGATAAACAAAAGGTGGTATATTCAGCGATAAAAAGGAACAAATACTAACATAGGCATACCTCCTTTTATTGTGCTCCACAGGTGTTGCTTTTTTCTTTTTTTTAACAAACTGAAGGCAATACCCTCCATCAGCAAAAAGATTACAACTTGCTTTATTGCGATACTCGCTTTATTACAATGGTCTGGAACCAAACCTGCAATATCTCCACAAGGCATGCCTGTAAATACTGCAACATGGATGAACCTCAAAAATATTATGCTAAGTGGGCCGACCAAGTGGTGCGTTGGTTAGGAGTTGGCTTGGGACGCCAGCTCTGAGCAGCAGGACCCCGGTTCGGATACCACATTAGGGCAAGTGGTGCTGCGCCCTCTACGGCTAAGATGATGAACAACAGCTCGACCTGGAGCTGGGCTGCCTTGAGTCTCTGGCAACAGTGTCGGCTGCAGTGGGGCTGGTCGGCAGCGGGTGTGAGCTTTTGTGAGCTGCCGTGAGCCGCCCTGAGCAGCCGTCCAATGGCTGGCAAGCAACTGCCTTAGCCAGGAAGAGCACAATGATAATACCAACGTGGGCCAGTGAAGCGACATCCTCCACAACTGGACTGAAGAACAAAAGGACAGCAACTTGTCTGTTCCCCTTCTCCGATTACCCAATGCTCTTCCCCTCCCCCAAATCCCCAATAAAATCTTAAAAATATATATATTATGTTAAGTGAGAGAAGTGAGACACAAAAGATCTAATATTGTATTTGTATATTATATGAAATGTCCAAAAACTCAAATCTATAGAGAACTGTACATTAGTGTTTATCGTGGGGGTGGGGGGTGAGAATGGGAATGGTCATTAACTGTAAATTAATACAAGGGATCTTACTGGGGTGATATAAATGTTATAGAATTTGTGGTGACGGTTGCACAACTAGGTAAATTTAATAAAGGTCATTGAGGTGATCCTTGATTCCATTCCTGTTTAAACATCTGGATTCCCTACCATAACACCTGTTGCCACCTATAGCTAGAATGAGGTGTTGTCTTGGAGTTTGTTGTACATTTAAGAATAAAGTTTCATTTCAAAAAATAAGGTTGTTGAACCGTACAGTTTATTTTTTTATTGTTCAATTACAGTTGACATTCAATATCATTTTATATT